ACGACGATGGAAGATGAAGAAGATGATGATGAATACAACCCCTACGTCGTTATCCTTTCGTGACTTGCTGCTCGCTGCTAACTAATGCCAACGCACAGCACTTCTGCACTTTGTTCGTCACTGGTCCATCTGCAGCCAAGGTAATCCCACCACATTGTCGTTCAGGCACCCTTCGGTCTGAACCCAGCTGATAGCTGAGTAAAATCTGCGCAAATTGTAAATCATAAATTAAAAGTTATTTATAGTTTAAAAACACTCATAAATTCTGTGAAAATTATCACCGAAATGACTTGATAAGCAGATCACCAGCGGCGCGTGCTAAATATGATCGTTTTACGGCTATCATTTTGGTCAAACAATATTGGCCACTTGTGTATGCCCAAAATTGCATCAACTTTTGCAATATCTTTTCATATTCACGTTTCAAATGACAGGCTGTTGTTACGTTAAGTTTCAGTCGGCTTAAGGAATCAGTGTATCGAAAAGATTAGATTTCGTCGTGTCAGCAAGACGAGTTACGCCTGACGACGCATTAGTGTCATATACGTTACATCGATGAAGCCGTCAGCCTATTAAAACGATGATCGGCATGACGCATTTTGAACAAAGTCGATATTGTGCTGCACAGGAGGGGCGACAGGAACTGTTTTCGTATCTGAATGCGAGCGCCATTCGTGACTGACGCCCCTGCGGTCAGATCAAAGAAGAAGCTGCGGCGGCCCCTTTGAACGCGCTGTTCGGTTACGGTAAGAAATTATATGATAAAATCTGCATGGGAGGAAACGACGACAACCGGGGCCACCTTGGGCCTCGTACATTTCGCTCCATTGCACTTACTTCACTTTACATTACTTTCGCTGTACTCAATCGCAAGCGCCGATTAGCTCAATCGAGTTAGTATCGTCATGTTGGAGAATAAAGCGAATTATCAGGACACAATCAAAATAGCCACAAGTTTCTCAAAGTTCGAGTTCTTAATGTGCACTCGAATATATCCAAAATACGGTAATAAGCTATATGCCTTATGGTTAGATGCCCCCGGATGCAATGTTTCATTTGAAAGTCTGACTGACATTGATTTCAAGCTTATTGCGACCTATCATAAAAAGAAGAGTAAGAACAATAGGTTTATGGTAGCATAACTGCACAGTTCTTATTAAAACTAACAAATGCTCTCCATAATTCAAACTTGGTGTTCAAACTGCAGACGAAGGACAGTGACCATGGTCCATTACATTAGCTAACGAGACAAGGCCAACCGTAGTCTGCAGGGCTCCTTATTTCTTTCAGTCAAAGAGACCATAATCGGAACGGAATATAAGAAAGTCAAACTCCCGGTCAATATTTAAGGAAACGACGATAAAATCTGTTTTCCACTGTGCCGTCTATCCTCAGAACGGCGGATTGTATCGCTTTGCGAAACTGACTCAGTAATTTACGGTACCTCACGCAAATTCTGATATACCTCTCCAGAACATGACGCTCCACTTGCTATTCACAAGCTGAAGACATGCTACTATTCTTGGCTGGTTGCACGGGAGCAACGCTGGATTAATTCCTTATTGAAAGAATGTAGCATAAAGAAAATCCTTCTTCTCACTCAGGATTCGAAGAGGAAGCTGCTCCGCAGAATTCGAAGCTGAACTTTGGTCATTGTGCTGCTTTCATTGCATTTTCAACAAGTGCGGCAGGTTATAGATGTCCATTGCGATGTTGCCAGCCAGCCATATTTTGGAAGAAGCCGTCTGCAGTTTGATGGCCACTACGATGGACATTTTCTCTAGCTTCCTTCCAAAATAGTTGTACACATTTATCTGCATCAGAAGGATGAGAGGTAAGTCCTCTGCCAGCAGTTGGCTTGGCGGTCTGTTGGACGGGAGTTCCGTGCTAGACTTCAAACGTCAGTGTAGTAGCACCGTCAAAGCGTGTATACTTTCGTTTTCATCTTACCCCCCTTCCCGTTGAATAGGACTTTGGTTCGTTTGTTCGTTCGTTTGTCATTTTTGACTTTTCTTCAACCAAGCTCTCTGCTAGGAAATTCATGCTGGCATTATATGCGGATCGACAACGTCTGGAAGTATGGATTGCTTAGCAATCCGCTTCAAACTTCTTGTATTTTCCTTATCCGCCAGAAAACAGACCTTAAACAGTTTTCTCGCTAGGCCATAAACATTGCTTCGTTACATATATTGCATTTACCATATTCACCACCGACTTTTGAGGAGATATTACCTCCGTTCAAATTGGAGGTGCGGTTTGAGCCGAATGGCCACGAGAGTTTCTGATCCGTTCCGACAGTAGAACATCAGCATGGAGAGAAAGCTCGTCTTTCGGCTCTAAACGTATCACATGCAACAGACGACCCGAGCAACCATAGAACTTCATCGACAGTTGTACCTTCGCGAGTGCTCAACCACCTGATTGACTACCTCATTGCGCTGCGCTTAATAAATCCAGTTTGCTCAGCTTTTTTCTCAATATATCGTAGAGAAAGTATTGTGCCTCAGAAACGATGGCATGAAAGAAGGGCCAATGCTTGAAGGAAACGAATTCAGCGGCGTTGGTCACGTCAGGGTGAACGAGTTCAAATACGGATGAAGCTTACCTGCTGCATGCTGAACAGAAGTGAAGTATTTCACGTTCTCATCGACGAAGCCGTGTCTGGACAGGAAGTCGACGATGTCCCGGTGTAAAGTCACGTCAGCCGGCGAGGGCTGCAGGTGGCTCCAACTTCCTTGCAAAATCACGGCGTGATCACAGATTTCGAACAGTCGACAGCGCATCGCCGGTTCATCGCGGCTCTGCACGGCATCGGCGAATCCGTCTTCGACCGGCTTTTCAGCCGTTCGGCGGGTTGTTGAAGCCTCTGGACACGGAGCAAAGTTGGACAGCTCCGCACACTTCAGCAGCTGGCTGCCGCCAGCAGTCCAGAACGGCTCTCTGTCGGCAATGGAGTTGCTATTTCGAGCCAGAACCAGCGGAAGAAAGTCCATTTGACAGCGTTTTTCCGAGCGATCGTAGAATCTGTTCCTGCGATGTCTCAATAAGTGACGACAACCGTCCTTGAGTATCAGCTGAAGACAGTCCCCATGGCTATCTGAAAGGAGGCAAATGCATACACTGACTTTTTATTTTTCCCATTTGATTAACATTGCACCGTTGCGCCACAATGGACGGAGGTAGTTGCAAACTGCAACTACTGACAATTACAACGAGCAAAGCATATGAAGAATTATGCTAATGATCAGCGTAACTGAAACAGTCAAAATGTTGGTTACAAATACAAGATCGTCGCACAGTGCAGAATATTCCAAAGTCATGGGTTCCCAATCTGTTGAACTTCTTACTGTTAGGTGATACATTAAAATGGTTAAAATGTTGAAATCGAACCTTAAGCCGAGCACCGTAAAGTTATCTTAAGAAGGTGCCAAAATTTTTCGTAACCCAAATTACGAATATCGTGGTAATGAGTGTTCTAATGAACCATTTCACACCCTCCACGGGCAGTAGTTGGCGTTAATAATAGAACACAGCTTGTTCGAAGCTATGGAGTTGGGTCAAAGACCCTTCAGTGGGTTCTGCCCAACCAGAATCACCTCACGGCACCAGATGCCATCACAAATCATGACGGCAATTCGTATAAATTTGCGCATATACCAGTCAAGCAAGTATAGTAATGAGGAAGCTGAACCGGCATGTAGTTGCGAAAGACGACCTCAGCGATAATTCGAAACTCTCTCCTTTCACGTCTGTTGGTGTATCTATCCTCAGCTATGGCCATGAAAGCTGGATCTTAAGAGAACTAGTGTAAGAC